TACTCCTATCTAGTAGATTCTTCGACTCCTTTAGTTTCCTTTATATATAGCTACGGTAATATATAAGTGCTTAGTAGTAGAGAGAACGTGTTAATAAGTTAGAAATTAGACCGGAGGTGAAACACTTTATAGCTAATAAGCTCTAAGACTTAGATAAGTATAATAAAAATGTCGATAAAATCGAGGGGCTTAAAGACTATCTAGATCGTGGCGAGATAACGAGGGATAAGTTTATTATAGCTATCGATAGACTTTTAGCTATAAACTAGTAGTATCGTTATCTCCTTACTATATGCTTAAGGGACTAAGGGATTTGCTCTAATAAATTTTAGTGTCTAAAGGCTTTAATTAAATAATATAATTTATTAAGCTTTAAACTTTATCTACTATTAGGCTTAATAAAGAATATAACTAATTTAAATATAGTAAATATCTAAATATATAGCTATAATACGGAGCTATAACTTATATATTTATTACCTACCTCTAATCGCTTACTTCGTGTAAAAACGAAGAACTAACGACGTTCCCTATTAAAAGTAAGCGAAATTTTAATTAAAAAGGTCGGTCGGCTAGTATAATAACCTATTAACGCGCTTAGCTAGCTAACCCTTTCTATATCTATATCACTAGAAATAGCTATTAGCTTACTAAGAAACCCTTATAGATTATATTTTAACTTCCTCGCTATAAAGACTACTTCCTAGCTAGATTAATTCTTTTCTTTTTATTTAAGACGATTCCCCGTCTATTAGGGTAACTTAAGAGTAGAGCGTAGAAGGTAGAAATATAGAAGAAGCTATAAACCCTAACACCGGATATTACCGGCTAGTATTTTACGGTAGTATCTACTACTCGAAATGTATCTTATTAATGCTATACTAAGCGCGTTTCTCTATAGATACTAGTTATCCCGCTTCTACCTAATCGGCTTAATCTTCGATAAGTGATACTATTACTACCCTAATCTACCTTTAGACCCCTAAAAAGTTAATCACGAGGCTAAATTAGCGTACGTCGCTAGAACCTAGTTATTTTAATCTTATATAACCTTATAAGTAAAGACCGGGTAACTTAGAGGGGA